TAGATCATCCACTGGCTTCACATTAGTATTGAGTACGTTGGATATTTGTTCTGTCCTTGTAATACTTTACTGAGAATAATGTGTTTTAACTCCATCTAGGTTAGTACAGAGGGTGTGAAGTTACCATTTTTTATATGTATTCCATGGTATACATATACCACAGTTTGTTAATCCATTCCTGGGTTGATGGGCATTTGGGTTGTTTCACATCCTGGCAACCATAAAGTGAGCTGCAGTAAACAATCTAGGGGATATGTCCTTGTGATAAAAGGATTATTTTTTCTTCTGGGTAGATGCCCAGTAATGGGATTGTGGGATCAAATAGGAGGTCTAACTTGAGATCTTTGAGGGTTCTCCATACTTCTTTCCAAAGAGGCTGTATTAGTTTGCAGTCCCACCAGTCGTGTAAAAGTGTTCCCTTCTCTCCACATCTGCACCAACATCTGTAACTTTGAGATTTTGTGAAGTGGGATAATCTTATTGAGCTCAGGTGGATGTCTCAGGGTGGTTTTGATTCGCATTTCTCTGATGTCAGGGATGATGCACATTTTTTCATAGGTTTGTTGGCCATGTGTCTTCCTCAGAGAAGATTCTGTTCATGTCTCTTGCCCAGTGATAGATGGGATTGAAGCTCTTTTTTTGTTGATTAATTTGAGTTCTCTATAAATCCTAGTTATCAAGCCATTGTCAGATTTATAATATGCAATTTTTTTCCCTCATTCTGAAGATTGTCTAGTTGCTTTCGTGACCCAGTTTTAAAGCTTATTTTCCACAATTTATAAATAGTGGAAACCAGTGCCCAGTGTTTATGGGTACTGTAGAGCCTTCCGGATTCTTAAAAGAAACTAAGTAACTTTGTAACCAGTGGCACTTATCAGGAAATTAGGGACTTATGCTAAGGTGGGCTCAAACTCAAGTGAGGGAGTTGTGGAGTTTAACAGACTGTATTCCTATGTTGGGTATTAATGAAGATGTCGGGATGGCATTTGATCATTATTAAAGCTGATTTTTTATTGTCTGGCAAATAGGTTACTGCTACGTGGTTTGTCCTTCATGGATAATCTCTCTGAGGTCATTAGACAGAAAAAGGTTGCCCTGGAGTAGGAGGTGTGTCCTCTCGGAACCAAGTTAGAACTTAGCTTAGAATATAGGCTGAGTAGCTCCTGGCTGTGAGGCTGATTTCTGCAATTCAGAGTGGTATAAATTTAGTCTAATTCTTTTCCCCAGGACTGCCCAATTTAAGATTAAATTTTATACTGGTGTGTATTAGCGATATGGTTATTTTGCTACTTCAGAGGAACCTTTTAATCAGCTTTAATACTGTCCTGGGTAAAGCAAAATCTTAATCTCCTCTCTCTGTCTAGACTCTTCAGCTTTGCCATCCCCAGAGCAGGGAGAGCAGGGGGCGGCTGCTCCTTCCGTACTCTGCTTTCACCGAACCTGCTTAAGTAATCCTCTGCCAGGCTCCTTCTGTACTGCATATTGGAAGCATAAAATAAATAAAAAGTATACCCAAATGAAATTTCCAGATTATTTTAATGATGCTGTGAAACCATCTCAAACCTCAGAAGATATATTTTCCTAGTTTATTCTTTATGTTCTAGAGAGTATACCCTGCTTTAATTGGTTTAATTAAATTATATTCTAGAGAGTATACTCTCTCTTAAATTAGCAGGGTAAACCTAATTGGTTTAATTAGAAATGAAAAACTAGAGGACTAACTCCGTAGTTTTAGGGCGGTGCCTGTGGCTCAAAGGGGTAGGGTGCTGGCCCCATATGCCGGAGGTGGCAGGTTCAAACCCCGCCCCTGCCAAAAACTGCAAAAAAGGAAAAAAAAAAAAAAAAAACCAGAATGTAGTTTTAAATAAAAAGAATTATACTGGGATTAATATGTAAGGGTTTGGATTTAAGTAGGATTAATTCAATCAAAGCTTGTAATTTATTGAAAAGATTTTAGATAGCAAAAGGAGGCCTGAGTGTCAGAATATATCAATACATCAGGAAAGATTTTTCTATGAAATATAATATTTGGCAAGGTAATCATTTTAGAACTGTATTTCTAAATGGTCTGCCTATGTATTATTTAATCTACAGGACCTTAATAGACCTGCCATGGTGGGGATGGGGGAAGCATTCTTTGTTCGAGTGAGTTTGAGAAGTACTACATTAAATTTAAGAAGTTGCCTGAGAACTTCTCATAGCCTTTAAAACTTTCTGAACTCCCAAGAGCAGGCATATATAGGGTACGGTACTGCTTCTCCCTAATCCCCCCCTTTTTTTTTTCTTCGCAGTTTTTGTCTGGGGCTGGGTTTGAACCCACCACTTCTGGTATATGGGGCCGGCGCCCTACTCCTTTGAGCCACAGGCGCCGCCCCCTCCCTAATTCTTTAAGATATTTTCCAAATGCATTATATCCAACTCTCTGCTTAGTACCTTGCCTCTGCCAGCTAACATGGTGGTATCCACTCATGGCTGCACATCAGAAGCACCTGCCCTTGACCCTGGAGGTTCTGCATGAGGAGAGAGGTCACCGTGCTCAGCATTCTGTAGTTATTACAAACACTCAGGTGATTCCCATGCAGCCAGTAGTTCAGCTGATGCTTTGGAACTGCTGAACTTGGAGCATGTGTTTCTTTAGATGGATGACTGGATTTGGGGTGCAGTTAGATTGTGGTCATGGAATACATGGGTTAACCATTTATTTTGGAAAGAACTGTGGCACTGACTGCCAATGAGTCCATGAGGAAATATAAGTATAACCTAATGTGAAACAATTATTCTTTAAGAAAAGCAAGCCAGGTGTCGACCTGCAGTCCCAGCTGCTCCCTTGGCTGAGGCAGGCAGATCACTTGAGTCCAAGAATTTGAGACCAGGCTGGGCAACATAGTGAGATCCTGTCGCCAACAAAAATAACAAATAAATAAGAAAAGAAAAGCAGAATACGACCAAATGGGCTCTTTTGTCACCTTCCTAATAAGGAAATATCATATATAAGATTACCATTTGCTTTCATTTAGTTTTGAGTAATTCCCTTGTGTATGATGTCTTATTTATACTTTAAAAGGAATCACTAGATTATGTTTACTCACCGGGATGTCTATTTAAGAATATGTCCTCTCTCTTCCTGCTGATAAGAGATGGACACTTGGCCTTAAGCAGCAGATAGGCCAGGATTCTCATTTGTGCTGTGTTCTGTGTGGCTCCTGACAACAGCTTTTCTAGGTAAGCTGTGTGCTTCTGTGCACATGCGCCCTGCCGAGGGCAGTGGTCTGTCTCCGTACCTGTCTCTCACATCCTCTACATACAGCTGGAAGGGAATAACAGGAATACTAATGGTTCGCAAGACAGCTAGTCTTGACATGTCTTGATTGTATACTGTTCTGTTAGCAATATACGAAACTGGACGCGCTCATTAAGGATAGGAAGTACCCACGACTGCCTCCACGTTCTGTGAGGGCTCACCAGGCAGGGAGGCGTGAAGCAGAAGGCGCGATCATTGAAAACTGGATATGAAACTTGTAGCACTTGCAAACAATTGTTTACATTAAACTGAGAGAAGTTAAAAAATAAAACTAATATGTTTAATAAGAGTAGTTAGATATGAGAGGTAACCGAAACCTGTAGTCCTGTTATATATACAAACATGGTTTGATATGCACAGTCTTGTTATATCTATATATTTATTGTTTGGTGAAATAACAAATAAAAAACTAAGTTTGCATTAGCAGGTTAGAGAATCAGGAGAGAACAGCAGCATAAAAACTGAGGGAGAAGACAGTTATAAGGATTTAACAGCCGGGCTGGATGCTGTAGAGCGGTATCCAGTTCAAGGGGTGCCGTGGATGCTGCTGCTGGTCAGAGCTCACAGCTTCCCACAGCAGAGTCGTGTTGGTGAGAGGAGGAGGCCGTGGCAGGAGACCCAGTGTTGGTGAGAGGAGGAGGCCGTGGCAGGAGACCCAGTGTTGGTGAGAGGAGG